GGGAAAAAAATGGGGAAAATGGGATTGGAATAGGGAAAATTGGGGGAAAATGGGGAAAAAATGGGCGAAAATGGGGAAAATGGGGAAAATGAGGAAAATGGGATGGGAACAGGGAAAAATAGGGAAAAATGGGGAAAATGGGATTGGAATGGGGAAAAATGGGACGGGAACAGTCGGAAATCCAACCAGGAATGGGAATAAACAGAGCAGGAAGGGCCGGGAACAGTCGGAACAATCGGAAATCCAGGAACAAACTCAACCAAAGCAATCCAACCCCCAAAACCAGATCCCAAATTCCAGGGAGGCACCAAAAACTCCACCAAAACCACCCGGAAAAAAACCGGGGGAAAAAACCCGGGAACGGGAACGGCGGGAAGGGGAAGATCCCGGCGGGAATTCCGAGGGTTCCGGTGTTTTCCAGGCGCGGCTGTGGCTGTTGGGATTGGGATTCAGCCTGGCCTACGGCAGCATGTTCACCAAGATCTGGTGGGTGCACACCGTGTTCACCAAGAAGGACGACAAGAAGGACAAGAGGAAGGCGAGGAATTCCCGGGAATTTCCTCGGGAAAAGGGCGGGAATTCCCCAGTGGGAATTGGGATCCCAGTTTTCCATCGGGATCCCGGTTTTCTGTTGGGATCTGGGTGTTATTTATTGGGATTTGGGTGTTGGGATCCCGGTTTTCCATTGGGATTTGGGTGTGATTTGTTGGGATTTGGGTGTTTGGGATCCGGGTTTTCCGTCAGGATCCCGGTTTTCCATTGGAATCTGGGTGTTATTTATTGGGATTTGGGTGTTGGGATCCCGGTTTTCCATCAAGATCCGGGTTTTCCGTCGGGATCCCGGTTTTTTTTCGGGATCTGGATGGGTTTTGGGTGTTGGGATCCGGGATTTCCATCGGGATCCCGGTTTTTTTCAGGATCTGGATATGATTTGTTGGGATTTGGGTGTTGGGATCTGGGATTTCCATCAGGATTCCGGTTTTCCATTGGAATCCCAGTTTTCCATCGGGATCCCGGTTTTCCATTGGGATCTGGGTGTTCTTTATTGGGATTTGGGTGTTGGGATCCAGGTTTTCCATCAGGATCCCTGTTTTCCATTTGGATCCGGGTTTTCCATTGGGATCCAGGTTTTTTTCAGGATCTGGATGCGATTTGTTGGGATTTGGGTGTTTGGGATTCAGGATTTCCCGTGGGATCCCGGTTTTCCGTTGGGATTTGGGTGTGATTTGTTGGGGTTTGGGTGTTGTTATCCAGGTTTTCTATCGGGATCCCGGTTTTCCATCGGGATTTGGGTGTGATTTTCTGGGATTTGGGTGTTGGGATCCCGGTTTTCCATTGGGATTTGGGTTTTCCATCGGGATTTGGGTTTTCCATTGGGATTTGGGTTTTCCATTGGGATCTGGGTGTTATTTATTGGGATTTGGGTGTTGGGATCCCAGTTTTCCATTGGGATTTGGGTTTTCCATTGGGATTTGGGTGTTGGGATCCCAGTTTTCCATTGGGATTTGGGTGTGATTTATTGGGATTTGGGTGTTGGGATCCCAGTTTTCCATTGGGATTTGGGTGTTGGGATCCCAGTTTTCCATTGGGATCTGGGTGTTATTTATTGGGATTTGGGTGTTGGGATCCCAGTTTTCCATTGGGATTTGGGTTTTCTATTGGGATTTGGGTGTTGGGATCCCAGTTTTCCATTGGGATTTGGGTTTTCCATTGGGATTTGGGTGTTGGGATCCCAGTTTTCCATTGGGATTTGGGTTTTCCATTGGGATTTGGGTGTTGGGATCCCGGTTTTCCATTGGGATTTGGGTTTTCCATTGGGATTTGGGTGTTATTTATTGGGATTTGGGTGTTGGGATCCCAGTTTTCCATTGGGATCTGGGTGTGATTTATTGGGATTTGGGTGTTGGGATCCCGGTTTTCCATTGGGATTTGGGTTTTCCATTGGGATTTGGGTGTTGGGATCCAGGTTTTCCATTGGGATCCCGGTTTTCCATTGGGATCTGGATGATCTGGATGATTCCGTTGGGATCCAGGTGTTTTTTCAGGATCTGGGTGTGATTTGTTGGGATTTGGGTGTTTGGGATCTGGGATTTCTGTCAGGATCCCAGTTTTCCATCGGGATCCCGGTTTTCCATTGGGATCCAGATTTTCCATTGGGATTTGGGTGTGATTTGTTGGGATTTGGGTGTTGGGATCCCGGTTTTCCATCGGGATCCCGGTTTTCCATCAGGATCCCGGTTTTCCATCAGGATCCCGGTTTTCTTTCGGAATCTGGGTGCTCCCCTCGGTTCCAGTGACCGGGAATTCCCACTGTCAATGACCAGGAATTTCCGGGAATTTTTGCTGTCAATGACTGGGAATTTCCGGGAATTTCTGGGAATTTCCGGTGTCTGGGAATTCCCACTGTCAATGACTGAGAATTTCTGGGAATTTCTGGGAATTTTTGCTATCAATGACCGGGAATTTCTGGGAATTTCTGCCACCAGTGACCGGGAATTTTCGGTGTCAATGACCAGGAATTTCTGGGAATTTCCCGGAATTTTTGCTGTCAGTGATGAGGAATTTCTGGGAATTTCCAGGAATTTCTGGTGACTGGGAATTTCAGGGAATTTCTGGGAATTTCCAGGAATTTCCGGTGACTGGGAATTCCCACTGTCAATGACCGGGAATTTCAGGGAATTTCTGGGAATTCTCACTGTCAGTGACCGGGAATTTCTTGGAATTTTTACTGTCAATGACCAGGAATTTCTGGGAATTTCTGGGAATTTCTGGAAATTTCCGGTGACTGGGAATTCCCTCTGCCAATGACCAGGAATTTCTGGGAATTTCTGGGAAATTCCAGGAATCTTTGCTGCCAGTGACTGGGAATTTCAGGGAATTTTTGCTGTCAATGCCTGGGAATTTCTGGAAATTTCTGGGAATTTTTGCTGCCAGTGCCCGGGAATTTCCGGGAATTTCCGGGAATTCTCCTGGAATTTTCCGGTGAGGGGGAATTTTGTCATTCCAGAGCCTGGAGCCCTGGAAGCTCTACGCCACCGTGGGGGGTCTGGTGGGATTGGACGTGGTGACGTTGAGCGTGTGGCAGATCGTGGATCCCCTGCACCGAACCATCGAGGTGGGAATTCCGGAAAATTCTGGGAATTCCGGAAAATTCCGGAGAAAATTTTCCGGGAGTTTTGGGGTTCATCGAGAGTTTGGGGGTTTTTTTTGGGGGGGGGGTTTCACCTAAAAATGATTCAAATTCAGGGAAAATTTATGGGGAAAAAAAGGATTGAAACTCCACCAAAATGTGATCAAATAACCCCAAAACTTCCCCAAAAATCCCTAAAAACTCCCCAAATCCGCCCAAAAATCCCTAAAATATCCCAAACTACCTCAAAAATCCCAAAAGTCCCTAAAAAGCCCCAAAACTCGTCCCAAAAATCCCTAAAAATTCCCAAAAACCCCCAAAAATTCCTAAAAATTCAAAATTCCCCCCAAAATGCCCAAAAATTCCCAAAAATCCCAAAAAATTCATATCTCCCCCAAAAATCCCCCAAAATCCCTAAAAATTCCCAAAACCACCCCAAAAAAATCCCTAAAAATTCACAAATCCCCCCCAAATCCCCTAAAATCCCTAAAAATTCCCAAAACCACCCCAAAAATCCCTAAAAATTCAGAAATCTCCCAAAAAAATCCCCAAGAATTCCAAAAAAATTCCCAAAAATCCCCAAAAATTCACATCTCCCCCCAAAAATCCCCCAAAATCCCTAAAAATTCCCAAAACCACCCCAAAAAATCCCTAAAAATTCCCAAAAATCCCTAAAAATTCCCAAAACCACCCCAAAAATTCCTAAAAATTCCCAAAAAATCCCTCAAAATTCCCAAAACCACCCCAAAAAATCCCTAAAAATTCCCAAAAATCCCCAAAAATTCACATCTCCCCCCAAAAATCCCCCAAAATCCCTAAAAATTCCCAAAACCACCCCAAAAAATCCCTAAAAATTCACAAAAATTCACAAATCCCCCCCAAA